ACATGAGTGGAGACCGTTGGGACCTGAGCTTGGTACCTGCAGGGGGGTCTCCAGATCCTCCCGAGTGTCTCGGAGCTGCGGGCGCAGTGGGCGGTCGTTGCATCGATGCCTGCGAGGCAGCAGTTGAGTCTGGCTGCGAGGATGAGTACAGCACGTTGTTCCTGTGTGCGTGAACGTGTTATCCCCAGAGGACGGTGCACGTTTAATCTGCACCACTGCTGAACACGTTGATTAGAGTCTGAGCTGAAAACAGGTGAGCGGTGAAGCTCAACTCACAGTTTGGAACCACAGAACTCTTTTGTCTGACACGACTTGTTTTAATCTGCTCTCCGGTTCAGCACCTCCTCATGGTGGACACTCAGCAGGTCTTCATACCAGGGGTGTCCAGTCCTGGTCCTGCAGGGCCACCACCCTGCATGTTTCCTCTGCTCCAACACACCTGAGCTGAATCAACGGGTGACTAACGGGCTTCTGCAGAACATGAAGAGGTGATTCAACCATTGAATCAGGTGTTCTCCAGGGTTAAAGTCTTTCTTTTACTACAGAATCAGATCGGAGCAGAAGGATGATATTTATAGGAGCTGTCTGCTGAGTTCTCCAGGAGAACGTCTCGTATGTTTCAGGAGGACCTCGGGGTGAAGCGCTGACTGAAGCAGGTGATGTCACCTTAAAATAACGAACTCTGGGCCTTTCATCTGTGACTGACTGTTTGTTAATGACTGGAACTAACTCCAGCTGCGCATCGTTTGTTTATGACCAGCGCGGTGGTCGGAGCTCGTCTTTATTGATGCTTCGCAGAATATTTCACTTTGATGCACAAGTTCTGTCATTAAGTTGAAACATCAACGAGGGAGACGCTTCATCTCGTCTGTGAAACCTCCCAGTTTAAATGACTCGTCATGTCCCCGCCTTTAGGCCGAGTCTCCCACTGCGCCTCACTTCAGACCAAACTATGAATGTCACCATGCGCTGGTTCGGACCTCGTTCGGGTTCTGGTTGTCATTCCGACGAAGCGGTGGAGAAACGTGTCGGCTGAGTGACGGATATACGATGCGACGTGCTGAAACGTTGACCTGGTCGTTGGCTGGGTGTCTCCGGGCAAACGCTCGAGCTGCTGCTCGCCATGAATGGAGGCACTGGAGGATGATGATGATGAAGGCCTTGAGTCCATGGACGTCCTTCCTGTCCCTCCCTGTCTTTGTGAACATAAGGATGGTTGTTGTTTATCATGGATGGATGGCTGGATGGATGCATCAGGAGGCTGAAGAGCACTGGGAGTAGACGTGGTCACAGCTGTGCACCCTCCGGCGCTCGTCGTCGTTTTTGGGCTGTCTTTAAATAAAGCTCTGCTGAACGCCTCGGGTGGAGACAATCTGGACGTGTGATTGGAGGAGGCTCACTGAGAGCGAGGTCAGCCCAGTCTCCGCTCAGCGTCCTTGTTGAGCGTTAATGACAGAAACGATGACAGGCGGGACACGGACGGTTGAAACTCTGCTGCCAGGAACTGGAAACGTTGCTCGTAGATAAAAACAGAACATCTGAATATTTATGAATTTGATTCAGGAGGACAAACGTTGCTTTCTTCATCTTCATCTTCTCTACGAGGCTTCTCACCCGACAGTTGTTTTCAGAAGAAACGCGCTCCTGCTTCACAGTTTGGACATAAAACAAGGAGATCGGTCTGTAGAAGCAGCACAGTGAGAGGAAGGTTGATGATTAACCAGAAGAAGAAGTGGGTTAACACGAGTCCTCCAGCCTTTTAACAACCAAGAGGTTCAGGCCCAAACTGAGGAACTGCATCCGTCCAGAAACTGGACCTGCTTCATCCACTGAACCTGTAGACTGGAAACTTTGTTCTGGTCACCAGTTTTTAAACCGTATTTAACTGATCTGACCGAGTTTATGACTGTTTCTACACTTTGAACATCTTTTTTACGTGCGTTAAAAATAAATTCTGGATGAGAGTTATTTGATGGTAGAAGTTTGATCGAAGCCCGTCTGAAGATCGTAAGCACAGGAACACTAACTATGTTTTAGTAAAACTGGCTGTGAATGTTTCATTTCAGGTGAACAAGCCTGACAAAAACATTTACGTCATTTTCAGAGTGACTTATTGAACAATGAAAAAATAAAAGTTCACAACTAATCACAAAAGAATCACAATTTTTAAAGTCAAGGTTTGCTTCACACATTTTACTCATTACTTCTAATTTTTTTAATCACAAAACAGATAAAAAGCTAAATGAAACAAGCTAAAACACATATTTTAATAAACCCATCATAATAATGCAGCTAAACATTCAGGCAGAATCATATTAAACCAGAAATACACATTAGGAGAGAGGCTGCCCAACTCTAAAGCCCTCTGTGAAACTGTTTCCCGACGTTCTTCGTTGGAACTATTCTCGGCTCAAACACATCAATTTCAAACACCGTTCTTGAAACGGGTGTTTTTTAAAGACCACATCAAATGGACCAGAACGCTCATGACAACCCAACTAATGGAGGGTAATGTGATAACGCAGCAGTGATTTCAGAAAGACAGCTGTTTGTGTGTGGAAATCTCTTGATCGGTTCCTCCCGTGCACATCTGGACCCCATCGTGTGGATGTTTCTGACCCCAAACACAAATAACTCTAAACACCTCCCGGGGCCGACGGCATCTGTCAGATCTCCGCTGCCTGATTCCCCGTGACACAGGACCAGCCTGTCGTCTCTGCAGGACAGCAGCGCTAACGCTAAGAGACAGATACCTCGTTAGCATTATAGCATGCGCCACAGGACAGACAACTATTGTTAGCATGATAGCATGGCACCGCAGGGAAAGGTTATTTCCAGTGAGAGGCTGCTTGTGGGGGCAGACTTGTTGGATGCTCGTGTGGGTCAGAGGGGTGTGAGGACACAAGGACACACTCAGAGAAGACGAGGTCATCCATGACTTTTACATCTGATCATGAACGTAACGCTACATATGGAGAGGTTCACGTGTGTCTTCCCTAAATGTGGAGCGCGCTCTTATTTTATGAAAATTATGGTCAACAGTAGATGGTCGTGATTTTTGGGCCTTCAGGGTCCACTGCATAAAACCAGGTCTGGTTCTGGTCTGGGCTCAGGAACTCTTCCACATATTGTTGTCTTTAAATGTATTTACTATAGTTGATCTTTTTTATCAGGTGAAATGTTTGAGAACTGGTTCATGACCTCAGAACTGCTCTGTGGTCAGACGGATCCAAATCTAAAGTTCTGCTTGAAACCATGGATTCCACATCATCTGTACTAAAGAGGAGAGGGACCGTCCAGCCTGTTATCAACTCACAGTTTAGATGCCTGCTTCTCTGATGGTATAGGGGTGCATTAGTTCCTCTGTTCCTGAGCAGCTTACACATCTGGAAAGACTCCATCCATGTGGAAAAATATCTGCATATATGCACGGTGACCTGAGCTAGCAATAAACCGTGCAGCTAAAGACGAGGCACATCTAACTGACCCAGCTCTTCTTCTGTTGTTTGTTAGTGGTTGATAAACCAGCTGGTTGGTTTATCTGTCGCCACCTGCTGGACTGTTGTGTAAAACTAGCACAAAGTTAAGTTGATGAGTATCTTTAAGTCAGCTGGATGTGAGATTCTAACTTGACAAGTTCACAAGGATTTAAAAAACAATTTATTGTTTTCACAACGACACATGCAGTTTGTCAAACTGACAAAAAATATTACGTTGAGTCAACAACAAGTCAAAAATACATTTTACAGTGTATTAGTCTAAGTCTATAGCAGCATAACAAGCCGACCCTAACTATAGGATTTATCAAAAAGGAAAGTCTTAAACTGGACAATGTGTCAGCCTCACGGACAGAAACTGGAAGTTGGTTCCACAAGAGAGGAGCCTGAGAACTGAAAGATCTTCCTCCCATTCTGCTGCTGGAAACTCTAGGAACCACAAGTAAACCTGCAGTCTGAGAGAGAAGTGCTCTGTTAGTAAAATATGGAACAATAAGATCTGTAATATAAGATGGAGCTAGGTTGTTGAGAGCTTTGTAGGTTAGAAGTAAGATTTTGAATTCTATTCTGGATTTCACAGGGAGCCAATGGAGAAAAGCTAAAACTGGAGAGATATGATCTCTCCCAGTAACTCCAGTTAAGACTCTGGCAGCAGCATTTTGGATCAACTGAAGACGTTTTAAAGAAGTATTTGGACACCCAGATAATAAACCATTGCAATAGTCCAGTCTAGACGTGACAAATGCATGGACCAGTTTTTCTGCATCATGTTTAGTATTTCATTGTTGAATGATTGACAGCTGACAAAAATTAAATATATTGGCAGTTTTAAGAATTTATGCAATCTTATAATTTAACAGGTACCGCAGTAGCATGTGGAAGAACCATACACAGCCACTACAACGTGCTGCTCACCAGCTTGGTCACACACTGCTGTGGGGCGGTGTCCCATCCTTCAACCAGCATTTGTCCTGAGTCAACCAGTGTGGTTGTGTTGGTCACCAGTAGCAGGTTCACAGTGAGGCTGAGGTCAGGACAGCAGGCAGGTCAGCCATCCTCTCCTCGCCCTGGTTTTGGAGGTGGTCTCTGATAAGCCTTTAACTGTGGAGCTGAGCATCTTTCTCTTGGAGGACAGAGTTCAGGTCCAGACGGTGGAGAGATGGGATATCCACTAGTTGGTCACCGGTCCGGCCGGTCAGGAGCCTCATTGTAGCACCTGGGGTTCCAGATCCTCAAAACCAGGGTCAGAAGCAGAATACGCTGTTGGACAGAGAAGATTCAAGTTTGGACACTTGACTTTACTTCATGCTCCACTTTGTTTTTAAATACGTCTCCATTTAAAGTTAAATAAACTGGTTTTCCAGCAGTAGATGTGTTGCTAAGAAGTACTGCAACATGAAAAGATAATGAACCAAAGACATTTCCTGACCTTTGTTGACATCCAGGAGTATCAGTGAACATATTCATGATTCTAACCCTGGTGCTCCTCTTCCTCGTTCCCAGTTTGCTCTCAGTTCTCGAAGGGCGTGTACGCCATCATGGGTCTGTACGACCGGCGGACGGTCAACATGCTGATGTCCTTCTGCAGCTCGCTGCACGTGTGCTTCGTCACGCCGTCCTTCCCAGTTCACACCAACAACCAGTTCGTCCTTCAGCTGCGGCCCGAGCTGCAGGAGCCCCTCATGGCCCTGCTGGACCACTTCTACTGGACCCGCTTCGTCTACATGTACAGCTCCGACTCAGGTGAGCCCGCCACCCCAGCATGCTGTACAGGTGTTTGTTGTCACGTCGTTCACGTTTACAGGGTGGACCTGTGGATCCAGCAGGGACCTTCTCCGAGGCGTTTAGTTTCCTGCTAGCTCCTCGTCTCATTTCTGCTGTTTACCTGAAGAAGTGCTCCTCAGTTCCTGAGACCTTCAGCAGATGTGTCCAACCTTTTACCTGAAGCTAAGACAAATCAGATGGAGAGCCGAACAAAACAGGAGCTAAAATATTATTTACATCCTGCTTAAAATATTTTTATTCTTGTTTATCGTCATCTGTTCCTTTTTTCATCTTTTTAAACTTTCCCATTATTTTCTTTTTATTCTCCTCATTCTTCATGTTGTTGTTGTTGTTGTTGTTGTTTGTGTGTGTGTGTGTGTGTGTGTGTGTGTGTGTTGGGTTTGACAGTCCAAACTCACATCAACAACTCATCCTTCATCACACAAACGAACCCACCGTCCCGCTCCGACCTTTACCGACACAATCAGAAGAAAAAACTTATCGACTCTGACTCATAATTACCGCACAGCCTTGTTGCCATGGAAACAGCCTCACAACTGTTCAGCACAGCCCGGACTGTACGGCTGTAATTTATTTCAATTATCCTTTTGGCATCCTGCTTTTTATTCCTTCTTCCTTTTCATCGTCCTTGTTTCGTCTGAGCTTCTGTTCTCATTCCGTCCTGCAGGACACTCTTATTGTCTTTTCCTTTTTTTATTTGATTTTATTTTTAAACTTTTGGGTATTATTTGTATGTTGGTCAGAGGTTTAAAAGCAGAACAAACAAACAAACAGTGAAAGCATCACTGACAACATCACTCACTTTTCCGTCTCTTTTCAACCTCTCGGACTCTGTTGACAAAGCAATGATAAGACGAATTTCGATGTCTAATAAATCAGTTAAATATAAAACTACAAACAGACGCGCGGGGTGGTTTGCTGACACAAACGGATCAGATCTGAACTAATAATTCTCACATCGTTGTTGGTTCAAGTTCCCCCGTGTTCTGTGGTTTACACTCCGGGCCAGCAGGAGGCGATGTTGAGCTGAGACCGTCTGGCAGCATTAAATAGCCGTAGCCCTTCCTGTGCAAGCTGAGGCGTTTCCTGCAGGAATAACATTTTAACTGGAAGTGACAGCAGTCAGAAGACTTTAATAATAATGTTTGCAGAACAAGTTCTCCACGTCTGGAGCTGTTTAAAGAAGCTTAACCCACTTTGTAGGCGGAGTCACTCAGAAGAGCTAAATTTAGCTCTTCAGTTTTGTCCGAGCCGAACCACTGAACAAATGATATTTAAACTTTTATCACCACTAATCTCATATTGTGCAAGTATTCCACAAGAAAAATTAAGGATGTCGTGACCTCAGGGGTCTCAGGAAGTGCTACGGCTTGCTGCTGCTGCTACTGGCATTATCAATTATCCGTTTAGTTCGATTTAAGAAGCAGTGATTCACTTGGACTCTCCCTTTGCTCATCATTCCAGTCAGAATTAAACGTTTTCTCCAAAGTGAGGTCGTTCAAAGCGCTATCTGTGCCAGGTAGGATACTAACTGTTCAGAACCGTTGTTTTTAAGAGGTTTTAGGAATAAAACAAACACAGTTTGAAAATGTTTTATGAGTTTGTTGAATTCAAACTAAAATCCGAGGAAATCTGAGCTAACAGACTCTTTGTCCTCCTCGTCCTCTTTGTCCTTCTTGACGTCGTCTCCTCTGTCTTCAAACCGTCGGAGGCCTGGAAGAGCCTTTTCGTGTTCCTCACGTCGTTGGGTTGAGTTTTCTGGATGTTACCGATGAACAAGATGTGAATTCTCCTGTGGTTGGTGAAAAGGACAAAAGAAATAAAAATAAATCTGAGCCGAACATCCCTCAGATTAAACGGCAACAAAAAGCCGAAGCATCAGCTGAAGAGGCTGAAGAGGCTGAAGAGGCTGAAGAGGCTGAAGAGGCCGAAGAGCGTCGACCCAAACACAGCGTGGGTCATTGAACGTGAACTTTCAGGTTTGAGCGCCTGCGTGGCTGAAACGTTTGCTGCTGTCTCAAACTCCTCTCACAGCGTGCACGCTCACACGCACACACTCATAAAGATGTCATAAGCTTTTCTGAGCGTTTGAGTTTTTATTCATTTCCTTTGGTTTTTAGTTTTAATTTGTGTTTTTAACAGTTTCTATGTGAACATGGTGTAACCCCGAGGCCTCAGGGGTTAATTTGACCCAAGGGCAGCAGGAGGGTTTGAGACATGGTTTATTTTTTATTAATAAAACTGAATGTCTTCTGTGACGAGTCCAGAAAGAATCAGAGTTATTGATCAGATTTGATCATTTTGTTGTTAAATAAAAACCAGCTGAGACAAAATAGCTTTAATGATGTGGATCCTGGTTTGATCGTTTCCGACGTCCAGCTGCTGAAGAACACGACGCGGTCCAGGATTTTACTGGCCTAAAGTTAGATTTTTTAAAACTTTTATTTCTTTGTTTTTTACTGGATTTCACGTGTGCTTCAGGAACTCACACTAAAAAAGAGAGAAGTCAGTTACTTTTATTTTATTTCAATTAATCTTATTTTCTTTCATTTTCTTTTTCTATTAATTACATCTTGTTTTTATTTTTCTTTCATGTCCTGCCGTTTCTTTCTACTTTCCTCTTCCTCCATTTTTTCTAGTTAATTCATGTCTTTCCTCCCACACCTCATCCCTCCTCCTCCTCGTCCTCCTTCTCCTCCACTCTCCCTTTCGTCTACCCCCCCCCCCCCCCTGTGGTTAGCTTCTTTTATAAAATAACTACAAAGTTACTGTGTGTCATCATCAATATTCTCCGTAATGAATCTGTTTGTATTAAAGATGTGTGAAATGTGTGAGAGAGTCACGTCCCAGAGACAGTGTCAGCTTTGCAAAGCATGCTGGGTAGGAATTGCGTGTGCAACGTTTCTGACTGTTCACGATGTTTCTGAGTGTGAAAACGAGTTTTCATGTTATTCTCCTGTTTGTTCTGGCGTCATGTGAGCGTGTAAACACCGGGAGTCAGAAACAGTTTGTGGTGGATCTGAGGGGAAGGCACTGCCCCGTGATGACATCACCGGATACTGCTTAGCTTATTGCATCGCTCCATGTAAATCTATGTACTATAAGACTTTGGTTTGGAGAACTGTCTTTAATAAAATTTAGCAGACTTCAATTTACTGGTTTTAAATTTAGCCGAAGCTAATTCCTCTAAAGGTTTACAAAGTTTGTGAAAATGATAATATGCTAAATGGAAAGTTAGCTCTGCTGTTAGCGGATTAGCGGAGCCGTGCCCACCACTGTGAAAGCTTTTCATTAACAAAATCTTTTATGTAAATTATGTTTATGGACATTACTATTTAATGAGTAAGAGACATGCTCAGACTCATTAAAATGAATCCAGTGTAGATTATGTGTTGCCTCTCTGGCCACATTAAAACTCTTATCTTTTTAATCTTTTGGACGCTGTGACGGTGACGAGGACGTGATTTCAGCTCCAGCCTGTCCTTCCTCAGGTCTGACGGTGCTGCAGAGGATCCTGGACACGGCGGCCGAGCGCAGCTGGCAGGTCACCTCCGTTAACCTGGACACGCTGACGGAGCCGGCCTTCATCAAGCTGCTGGCCGACCTCGACTACAAGAAGGAGTTTCAGATCATCATCGACTGCGAGCTGGAGCGCCTCAACTACATCCTGAACCTGGTAAAACTCCAACGTGCACCGTAGATTCTCTCTGTAGGTGTTAAAGATAAGACAGAACTTTGTTGATCTGCAGGAAATTGTGCCAGAGTTTCAGTAAGAAGGAACATACACAAGGAATCACACAAGATATTAAAATAACAACAATTACGTTGTAAACAGGTGCAGACAGAAACATTGAAGTGTTTATTGTCCTAAAGGGGGAGGAGTTGAACAGTTTGAAGGACTTCCTGTGTTGTTCTGTGGAGGTGGTCTCAGTCTACGACTGAAGGTGCTGTGGTCTGAGTCCAGGGTGTCATGCAGGGGGGAGACGTGTTGTTCAGGATCTGGAGCAGGTTCCTCAACATCTTCTGCTCAGACACGTCTGTCAGAGACTGCAGGTCCGCTCCCAGAACTGAACCAGCTCTCTTCATGAGCTTATCGAGTCTGATGGCATCAGCTTTCTTCACCCTGCTGCCCCAGCACGCTGCAGCGTAGAAGAAGATGCTGGAGACCACCGAGTGGTAAAACATCTGCAGCATGCTCCTGCAGAGACCACCGAGTGGTCAAACAT